GAAGGAAGGAAGGAAGGAAGGAAGGAAGGAAGGAAGGAAGGATGGATGGATGGATGGATGGATGGATATCACTTAATTTGTCTGATCCAGGAAAAAACATGCATTCCTTACACTCACCTGTCTGGTTGGTTTTCTAGATGCTGTAGAAGGAGACTTATCAGAATCCCTCAGTTCTTCCTTTAAGGGTCCAGCTGTTTACAGTCCTTCTCGATACAGCTACCAGGTATGGGAAACAATAGCATGTTGTAAAGTTTGGGTAGTTAGCAAAGCCTCTAGGTTTTCCAACAAGGTACCTAGCCCTTCCCGATCTTTTATATGCATTTTACATTCTTTTGTTTTAGAAAATATAAATAATGAGTGGCTGTTTGGAAATACTCCACATACTGAGAACTAAAATGTAAATCAAAGGTTGGTGGATGCATCTTTGGGAGCCAGAGGGGGATGGTGGGCAACAGCTTTACCAATTTGCTTTCTGCACAAAGAGTGTTTTGTGACTGGCCATATCCACCTACCACAGCCATTTTGTATGAGCATCCAGGTCGTGATCCTGGATTCCAGATGTATATTCTGGTTTGAAAAGTTTGGAGTTCCTTGATCCAGACTTTCTTAAGGGGGTTGTGGAGGCAGCTGAGCTACACCTGAATATAATGTTATTTTGTTTTGGTTTTTTCCCTTCCAGCTCTTGCAGTCTGACAGTCCACGCACAGAATCTCAGACTCTTCTTCAGAGTTCCTCACCATACCGAGGACATCCCGTCCCATCCCCTGGGTACAGTTACCGGTCTCAGTCCCAGAGAACAGGACACCTTCCCTCACTCAGCTCTTCAGAATCCTCCATGTCCTCCACCCCATCGGGCTCCACGGACTCATCGGCTCTGTTTGCAGGGACCTCTGGGTATTATAGCAACCAGCATCACTCGGGCAGTGGAGTCTTGAAGAAGAACTGTCCCACAACTGCTGCTCCTAGTCCTGCCCATTCAACAGTTGCAGACTGTTTGCCGTCCTCTGAATCAGGGTCGCATCCCTGCATGGGAACTGCCAGCTGCACTTCTTCCTCTCGGCCCTCTCAGTCAGACTTACGGACTATCAACCCCCCCGCTTCCGGGCAGCCTGCTCTCTATCAGAGCTCCAGAGCCGCAGCACTTTCCAACTCGCAGCACTACTCTCACCGAGGGGGAGGAAGCAGCCTTCACCAATACAGACTGCAGCAACTTCCAGGATCAGGCGTAAAGACTCAGACAGGCCTTTCTTAGGGCAGGACAGAATTGCCTACTGTTCCTTCCAGCAGTAGCTTGAAAGGAAGAACGCTGGAACGGCAAAGGGCCGGAGGCTGAGGCTTCAGGATGTACAAGCAAGCGAAAGCACTGCCAGCCACCCCTGGCTTTGAAAAGAGGAGAAAGCAGTGGTGGTGGCGGTGGTGGCAGAGCCTGTAGCAAAGCACCTCCGTGATGCCTGGGTACGTTGTAGAGAAAGCAAATGGTGCTGAGTGGCATGGCCTCTGTCTCCTGCCTGTGCCCTTAGCTTGTAGTCATCTGGGCAGGTAGGTAAGCTTGAATATGAAACAGTGCAAATCAGAAAATTAGGGAAGGGCAAACGGGGGGGCGGGGGCGTTACTTTAAATCCCAAAGTGCTCTCTGCAGAGTTGGGTTCCCAGAATATTCTGGGTTGGGGAGGGTGGGTGGTGTAGTCCATTCTGATCATTCCAGTTGTAAGCAAGAGCATTTATTATGTCCAGGCTCTGGGCAGAGACCCATGGGATAGGGCTGGTGGTAGTATGCGTATGTATGTGTGCACTCGTGTGAGTCTGTGTGTGTGAGAGAGGGCAGGACGTGCAAGCAAGTATTGCTGCAAGCAGTCACAAGGATAAAGTCATGCCATGTCACAGAATTGAGTCTCGGGCAAGCTGTATTCCATGATGGGGCCAGTTGGAGTGTCGCCACGTTCTGCAATGTGATGATGTGACCATGGTGGCTTGTCACAGGGAACGGCTTTTACGATGTGCTGTTCTGTAGTTTGATTGTGTAGTCTGTGGATGGTGGTGAGAGAAATGCCCGGTCTGGTAGTGACGTTGCTGCTCTTGTCAAAAGTGTCCTAGTACGTGTGAGAGGCTACCACCTCTTGAGGTCCAAGAGCACTTCCAGGACCACTGGATGCGCTGTCCAATTCCATACAGTTGCCAGCTTTTCTCACTTGTTTACTCTCAAGCGTGTGTTTTTATTTATCTAATTTTATATTCAGTTATAACCATAGTAGGTTAGCAAATATCAGGCAGGTCTAACCCCAGTGCTGCCATGGACCTTTTCCTTCCCTCCTTGACAAGATAATGCTGTGAGCATGTCTTCCCTCATTTCTCAGATGCAAAATCTTTTTGGTTTTTCCTTTTCCTTTTTAATTAGGACTGTTACAGGTTTCTCTAACTCACTGAAATCAGGTGTTCTTCATTCAATTTAGGGGAGACTTTTAAAAATATCAAAAGCAGAGAAGAAAAAGAAACCTCTCCTCAAAGTATCTGGCTGTGAGCGTGTTGGGGATGGAACTTGTCACCCAGAAGGCGGGTGTCCTATATACTGTATAAAAAGGGTGTCAGCTTCACTGGGCTTTGCAGCCTCCTTTTCCATCATGTTGAGCATGCTTTGAGCATTGCACGGATTCTTCTGGAGAACAGCAGGCAGAGATAAAGCACTATTCAGGGTGCTGGGAAGGGTAGGAGCCACCGGGAAGTTGGGGGTGGGGGGCTGCAGTGCTGCCCTCAAGTGGAGTTGTACACTGTGCTGTAATATTTGAACTTTCACAAGAGATGTAATAATTTTGATAATAAAATACTTAACTTGAAAATCACTCGGTATGCTCTTTTATTGGCTGGGGAGATGTAGTTTTACGTCAAAGTAAAAGGACCAAAAAGAGTTACAACACACAACGCAGTAATGTGAGGTCCAGCATTCCAGATCTCATTGGAGGTTGGCTTCTTAAAATGTGGGTTGAGTGTTCGTTCATGGTGTTGAAACTCATTAGAGGGGTCTTGCAAAAGTTTCTACTAGAACTGGGATGGGTTTATTTACAATTATTGTTTGTGTCGTCGTCCCCCCCCCCGGAATCTCATGTATTTCAATAACTTTGATTTTGTTCTATTTTATTCTTATTGAGGCAGAAATACATACATTTGTTAGTGCCTCACTATTTTACCATCTTTCATTTTATTTCAGTGAAATGAGAGGGGGAGGAAAATTACACTCTAGTTTTCTAGCTTAGCTAGCAAGATTGCTTCAACTCCCCCTTCATGCCACAGACCACTGTTGGCAGGGGAGGTTGGCAGCATTTGTAATGATTACAGTGTGCAACTGAGCAGCTAGAAACACTTAAACAAATTCTGTTTCCCTCATTTTTAGAAATACCATTTTAATGCTTCTGGCTTTAGTTTAAAGCATTAATTTACATGCTGTGTATGCCTTTATGGGTGTATATGTATGGAGTCGCACCTTGGAAATACAAAGACCAATATAAAAATAACAGTCTCCATCTATGTACAGTTAAAGGTTGCTGAAATTGTCAGATGAAAAGAAGGGGAGCTTCCCTGTGTGTAGCATTCACTGTATGCCACATCTCTATATAATCTTGCCTATAAATCTTAAATGCATCTTGAGTTGGAGTGAAACAGACTGGCATCCTTTACAGCAGTGTTGTCCAAACTTGGCCACTTTAAGATGAGTGGACTTCAACTCCCAGAATTCCCATGGCTGGCTGGGGAATTCTGGGAGTTGAAGTCCACTCATCTTAAAGTGGCCAAGTTTGGACAACACTGCTTTACAGGCTCTTTGAAATAATTCACAGTGCTGATGTGCAGATCTCCTATCACTACCTTCTGAGACATTTGGTCTGACAGTTCAGGCAGGAAGCAGTGAAATTCATATTCGGTTGACAGTGTTTTGATTAGAATGGAAGTAATACAAGCCATATTAAAATTTTGATTGCCCAGCTTAAGGTATTTTTAAATTCTAGATGCTTCACACATTCTGCCACCAGATTTTATCACAAAGTATTCATTTGGAATAGTTTTACTGTTTGAATCATTTAGGTTGGGTCAGGGGTTACAAGTGTGTGTATCTACACATTGTGATGCTTGGTGATGTATAAGTTGCTAGAGGGTGCCTGGGCAAATGGTCTAGATTTCTTCCCAAAATTAGCTGGCCAGCTCTCTGTTTCCAAGATAATAAATATTAGGAAGGGCCTTACCATGGAGACATAAATGGAGACATAAATGGAGACATCCAAGGCCCAGGCCCCAGATTTTCTAATTCAAAGGATTGCTTGTAATTGAGCCTGTTACACTGAATATCCATCTTGGGACTATTGTAATTAAATGTAAGATGACTGTACATTTTTCCACCTTGGCAATAGCTACCATCCACCGAGTTGAGTTAACTTCTCAACTGGAAGTTATCATCTCAGCTGGAAAAACTGAATCAAGTTATTGTAGCTTTTGATTAGTTCATATTTGCGATAGCCAAAGACAGGTTCCTCTTTGCAACTGCAGGAAGCTGCCATTGATACATCTAACTACTGTACTGGCATTCCTAATCTCTTCCTTCTCCAGTTTGTTGAAGCTGAGAAACAACCCTCTGTGTCCTGGAGGAAGCAATACATTCTAGGTTTCTTTCACCTCTGTTAGTAGGAAATCCCAGGGATTGATATAAACTCTTAGAATGTTACACAGCCTGCATATTACCAGGCTAGAGAATCAGTGCTGGGTACTTTTGTGGGCAGAAGGTGATGTATTGCATCAAACACAGCAGCACAGCCACCGCAAGCAGATTCCAGCACTGATGCTCCTTTTGGGAAGCACTAGACTTCAAAGATGGTGAGCTTCTTGGGGAAGAATGCAGCATAACTTTATATAAGCTTACATCTAAAAGTATCATGGCCGGGGTGGGGGGGTGCCCTGATACCAGCTTGACAATTATAACCTGGACTAAATCTTAGGGAAGTGCTACTGCATATTTAATACAGTGTCAGGAAAGATCTGTTCTGCTTTGTCAACCTGCAGTTTTCAAATGTCCCGGATCAATCAAACTTATAGTAAATACAGTGCTGACAACTATAGCCAAAACACCCCTGAAAATATGGAAGGAAAGAATCCACATGTTTGTAAAAGCTGTAAAGTTGGAAGGAATACAAAAAGGTCTCTTAAAGAATGATCCTAAAGGGGCAGCTTCTCCCCCCCCCCCAAAAAAGCAGTCCAATGATCACTGAACTTCTCTAGAAGCTATCAAATGCAGGGTGTCATTGTGGGGCGGGGGCAGGGGGCGAAGTGGAGTGAGGTAATGGATATTCTAGAGGATGGCACATTAAACAGAAGCTACTGCAGTAGGAAGGAAGGATTTTCTTGTAATCCCCCTTATTCATCTATGATGAATTTAGGGTTTCTTCACCTGCCACTTGCCTGCAGTGATCCAATTCTTGTCACTAACCTCCTTGTAAGTGGAACTTCTTCCTTGGTTCTAGCATTCAAATGCTTTGTTTTTCTCCTTTGTGCCTCTGCAGGAGAGCAAAGTGTGGAGAATATTCCTTTACACCTGCTGCCCTGTGCTTGCCACTCGTATGTGCCCTTGGCACCAGCGGCATCATGATCAACTATCTCCATAGTTACGCCCGCAGGGTTGCTATAGAGACAGCTGGAGAAAGCCGGTGGCAGGCACCAGCTCAAGGTGTAACACTGAGTCACCATGGTGAGCAGTGGCAGGAGCATCCCTGAGAGGGGAAGAATGGGACGTAATGAGTAACCAGAGAGAGCTGATTGTTGATGAAAGTGGAGGCTGGGTAATTTCAAGTGTAGTCCAGAGAGAAATCCGTGCTGGGACATTTAGGCAAGTGGCTTATTGTTCCCCTTCACTTTGGGAAGAAGAGGCCAGGCGTACCAGCGGCAGAATGTTCTGTCCGTGTAAATGAGGTGGCACTTTTGAACGCATCACTTCAGATTACAGACAGGAAATCCTCATGTTTGAGATATATGTGTGAGAGAGAGAGTTTGAATATTTTTTTACATATAGTGAACTAGCATAGCAAGCAGTTACAATAAAGCTTTTTTCCTGATAAACCTCGTCTATTGTATACCTTGTTTTAAATGTAAGTGTGTGTGTGTGTGCGTGTGCGTGCATGCTTATGTATGGAGAACATTCAAAACTGTTGGTCTGAATGTTGAATTGATGGTTTAGAATTCTGTGTCCTTCAGTCGACCACTTCTTTCTACAAAAGATGTAAAACAATGCTAGCTGCCAGTTCACCTTCTAGCACAGAGAATTATGCTTGCTGTCACCTTTGCACACGCATCCTAAAATCCTCTGACATGCTAAGGAGAATTGCTAGTGTGCATCAAATTCAACAAGGCTCGTGTCCGATGAGAGTGCAACTTCCATAATCCTCAGGCAGATTGTGATCCAACTAACCTGGGTTCAGAAAGTTGCATTAATAATTATTCCCATGCTACCTGTATATAATAATAGGAGGAAACTTCGATTTGTGTTATTGAAAGATGAAATACCTGGAGTAAGGCTGTATCTGTAGTGGCCCTTGAATTATGCAGCTCTCTCTAAGAATCATCTCTATGAAGAAGATGAGAAAACGTAAGAAAACTTTTAACAATCGATGTGTAGTTTGGTGGTACCAGAACCTTGCAGGTTGCTTTTATGTTCCTTGCTTGTGATGGCATTTTGGTTTCAACAGGATGCACAGTCATCTGATACGAAACTGATAACATGATTATTGGGGATTCAAAATGTTCAAATCTCAATTCTAATTCTTGCAACTTCCCTATAAAAGTGGGGGGGGTTGCATTTAGCAGGGCTGATGCTTGCTGGAGGCTCTCCCCTTTGTCCACTGATCCACAGATCTATCTACTATGTTAAACTAGCTTCACAGTCTGTGAGCATAAGATTAGGTTGTCATTGGAGAATTTCAGTGCAATCTGGTTCATGTAAAATGAACAGATTTTGGGGCTGCATTTGCAGAGCAGTCATCTCTATGGGATTGAGATCCACCAAGCCACAACCCATGTGTAGAAGATGCAGTCTTGATTCTACATCAAGTCAAGGTAAGCAGATACTTGCCTGATATTTTACACTCAAGTTATCCCTCAAATGTTAAGCAGCTTTGGTTTTACTTGTCTGACTTTTTCTTCATCAATATGTCTTTAAAAGCCTGAGATAGTGAACGAACTTGTGCCATGTTAAGGACGCAAGTCTCTATTTCAACTTTGCACTTTTATTTTCAGCCAAGGAGAGAGGCAAAGTAACATTTCCTTGAGCGTAAGGAATCCATCCCAGTGGAGCTTGTACACGAGTAGAATCTTCCACAACCAAGTTCAATCCCAGCAATTTTTGCTTGGTGGAAAGAAAAAAATGTATTGACCCTAAATGAGGGCCCTAAATACTGTGGCTTTTTGAATGTTTATTCCTCCTGTTTATTCTACGCCCACCCTCTTTTCTGCACCTGTGCCACCTTTATGGTCCCATCTTTGTTAAAGGTCATTGTTCCTAGGGATACGAATGTGTGTGCTTTGTATTTCCAAGTCCCAAATTATATCTCAGCAGTTAGGACTTGAGAAGACTGGAGGCCTGTAGACAGGCTATAAATACAATCAGTCAACTACATCACAGGTAAATACATCGTAGGTAATACTGTATGGACTAGCTGTACGGGCAGCCTTACATATTTGAGGTGGATGAGTCAGAACCATAAACGCCTTACAAGACCATGATAAAACTGACAATTCTATTTCTGATTCCTTTCGGTATGTTGTATAGCAAAGAATTTGCTGTACCTTTTTTAAGAG